GTCAAAGGTCAACATGTCTAAAAATTATTTTTACAATAGCTCCAAAACTATATGTGGTATAAAGTCAAAATGTTTACAGTTTATAGATATATCATTGATTAATAGATAGAAAGTATCACTTGATAACAAAATTTTATAAAAGCAATGTACTTTCGCTTTCACGTCTTAATATTTGGACAAAATAAACAGGGAAAACAACTTTCCAGAGGCTATCCAAGTCCAACTTGCCCTTCATTGATAAACATATTTTGTTTCTGCAGTGATGGTTTTCACTAAAAGCATAGAATTAATTAGGTGCATTTCCTGAAAAAATATGCATTTTAAAAAAGATTTTTCTCAATTCAAATATTTTTTCCAAGTATTATTTATCAAGTGATACTTTCTATTTGTTAATCAATGAAAAATTGATAAACTGTAAAAGTTTTAACTTTATACCTCACATAGTTTTGGAGTTATTGTAAAAATAAATTTTTGGACATGTTGACCTTTGACGAAACCTTAAGTTCTTTTGTAAAACGGGTCCCTGAACCCTCTAATCAGAGAGATAACTCTTACTGGGGTAAATGACTACAGTCTGTCTGAATTTAGCCTGGAATATGGTTGGAATCTAGCAGGAATTGGTAAAGTTCTTGCGTCTGATAGACATTTCCAGCAATAAGCGCCACGAGCTCGGACTCGTACTCTGTACTTCGATATATAAGGGGCCGTATAAAAAGTTTTTAAAAAGGGTTATAAAGCTATAAACGAAGTATTGCGTATCTCAACTAAAATAAGTAAAACCCGAGATTAAACAAACATTAAGATAATATTTGCTATCTAAATTCAAAATAAAATCACCGATTTTGAACCCAAATAGCATTCCTATATTTCTATACATGTAGGTTAAACTGACTTTAAACTGTTTCGGAAATAAATCGCCTATTGTTTTAAATTTCGGATTTCTATGTAATGCGATTGATTTAAATAAAAATATTGTGTTATTTACAGGAAAGTCCTATCTTTATATAAAGTAACAAAACAAAGAGAAAGATCATTATAATTTCAGTTAGTCTGAACTTATGAAAAATACTCCATATATGACTTTAAATGCCACAAATTACGTTGCTTTATCTAGGAAACAGTGTTTTTGTTGTTTGTAAGTAAATCAATTTTTTACAAGCCCCCTAAACATTTTGAAACAACTGTCAGAGTCAGTGTGCGAGTACGGTCTCGAGATCATGGAATCTGGAAATATCTATTAGGCGGAGACTGAATTTAGAGATTTCATGCCTAAAACAATAACGACATTTAACTCTTGACGCGACATTATCCAGACTTTTTACTCCCATGTTCTTATTGTGATATCTAAAAACTTTTATATCACTAAATGTTGGGATTTCTTAGTAGTACTAGTATCCGAAAGTCTCATGTTGAACTCGTAAACATCTCCTCTTCTAAAAAGTAAATCCCACGAATATTGACAACCAGACATTTTCTCCCATAAATTGTGGAACATGGAATATATCCCATAAATAATTAACAATGGCAAATCAATCATCATATTCTTTGGATATATTCCTACGTTTAATTATTAACGATGTATTGATGAGAACGATTCATTGTCAATATTCATGGGATTTTTCCCATTTGAACAAGCAGAAAATATCGCATCTGACATTTTTACTCCCATGGGAGAAAGGTTGAATAGTTGAGGGGACTGAAAATTCCATAATTCTCCTATATAGGACTTTGAGTTTTTGGATTTCATATCTTTAAAAAGACAAGAGGCTAATGGGCCTTCTAGGTCACTTGAGCATCATGCAACAACTTTCTAATGATTGAATTTGGTTCATGTTTCAAGGTACAATGTAGATGCTATGGCATTTACAATTGTGAAAGAGGCACCATTGCTGATCATTACTTTACACTTAGCAATTGCTTAGTTTTGTTACTTAATACCCAGAAGCAGGGTAGGGGAACAAAAACTGCATTTCAACTTATCAGTAATATTCAGGAATAATCAGTAGTGCCCTACATGTACCATACATGAACCCCCGAGCCTAAGTCCAAGCATTGCACAATTTGCGAAAAGGCATCCATGCTTATAAAAATTGTTTGATTAATAAAAAGGAGCAGATTTCAAACAAAATTTATTTTCAGCATATAAATAGAGCCCCCTCCCCTCTATGGTACCCCTGGGGCCAGTACATAAAGTTGTGGAGCACGACGACGGAAGAAAACGGATAGCAATAGGTCACCTGAGTGACTCTCATCAATATCAAACAGCATATGGAGTTTGATGATAATATCTAAGTTTCTTTGAAACTGAGCTTTGAATTCAAACTGAGCTAAATGCAAAGTGTGACGAAATGATAGAAGACGGACATAACAAACACTATATACCCCGCCATTATTCATGGTGGGACATAAAAACCAATTTTAGCAATACACGATTTTATACCTAACCTATTATGCTACAGTTTTGCTTTATATTTAAGGACATACGAAGATTGTCCGTAAAGTTCGTGGACAAGCTAAAATTTAAATAAAAATGTTGTCATTGCTATATATTATTAACATTTTTATAACCCTTTTCCTAAATATGAATAAAAAAGTGTAAAATTATATTAAATTTTAAAAATATAATTAAAATTATGGCTTCATTAGCAGACTTAAGATTGTGACCCGGGGCACCGCAAAGTTTTTATTAAAAGTTATTTATCACATTATAAATTTCATTTGTATTTCGTAATATTCCGCGGAAATTCGGATTGCTTTTACATTCTGAGGTTGACAAAAGTGAAAACATCAATCCTGCAAAATTTGATGGTTCAGAGTTTAGAAATGGCTTAGAAATCGAAGTTAGAATATGTTGAGGCATTGTTCGAAAAAAGAATGAAAAGGTGGAGCAGAGACCAGTGATAAAATTCTGCGTAGACATCGAAAAAAAACGCCAACAGAGACCCATAAATGTTGTAAACAGTCTGAAAAAAAATGTAAATTAAGCCGTTCTGTAGTATTTAAGTTGAATATAAAATTTTCGGACGAAAGGAACAGTTTACAGGATAACATGCATGAAGGACGACCATCATTCCAAGATTGCTGGGCTGTTAAAATGACTTTCGTAACATGAATTTGCTGTATTTTAGTACATTAAGTCATTTATCCGCATAAAAGTTTGGTAATTGACATGATTTGAGACAGGAAGTGTTATATATTAATATGAAATCTAACATTTTTTTAAAAACATTTCTGATGACTGTTTAAAGCGACATAAAAAATAAACTGAGTTAAAGGGTGACTGTGTTGAGAAAAGTTACAAGTACCCGTATTAAGTTTTTGACGTCGGATGACGTCAAGGATTTTCCTTTTAGTGCTCTGAGTATGACTGTGTGTCTTTTTGTCCCCCGCTTGAAAAGTGGGGGATATTAATTTGGGTTTGTCCGTCCGTCCGTCCGTCTTTCTGTCTGTCTATAACGCTTTCGTTTCCACACGATATCTCGAGAACCCTTTGAGCTTTTGCATTGAAATTTAGCATAGCAACTCCCTATGGACTAAAGAAGACCCCTATTGATTTTGAGGTCAAAAGGTCAAAGGTCAAGGTCATAAATAAGCAAATTCTGTCTGTTAAAACACTTTCGTTTCCACACGATATCTCTAGAACCATTCGAGCTATTGCAATGAAATTTTATATAAAAACTCCCTGTGGCCTAATGAAGACCCCTATTGATTTTGAGGTCAAAAGGTCAAAGTTCAAGGTCGTAAATTTATACATTCTGTCTGTGTGTAATACTATCATTTCCGGGCGATATTTCAAGAAGATTTTGAGCTTATGCAATGTAATTTTATACCAAAACTCCCTAGGACGTCTCTCGCCCCTCTCAAAGTGCCCCGCCCCGTTTGTTTTATTAGTATTTATAGTATTACATGTCGCTATTTTTAGCGCAGGGGCATGAGAAGAGTTATTGCGTATAAAACAGGTTCTCGGCGGACTTTATGTTCTTATTACATCTATTAGAACTGTTTAATAAAGGCTAAATAAATCAAACACCATGGATTGTGTAAAATTTTGAGAATACCTAACATGAAAACATGAATATATACATGTATGTGACTTTAGTTCTGCATTTACTTCATATTGGGTAAAGCGATTCCGTGGTCCAGTGGTCATGTGTCTCGCTTCAAATGTGAGAGGTCCCGGGATCGATTCTCGGTCGATCCTTTCTTTTTTTTTTTAAAATACTTTTTTTTACTATATGATAGTATTCAGCATGTGAAATGAAAAATTTATGAGGTTATAAAATCATTATTACAGTGTGATAAATATTCCATATAAAAAGAATCTTCTATACACATAATAAAGAATAAGCAATCAAATCTTTGTATGCATATTGACATACATGTATTTTATTTGCTTCAGTATACATGTATACATTTAATAATTCTACAAATTTAATTCTTTACAACTTAAGTCAGGGGGATCCGACACCCCCCCCCCCCCTTCCAGGAACTGCGCATGGTTTACTTTTTCCCTAAGCGGGGGACACAAATTCTCTGAATTAGCTTGTTTGTATCAGATTAAATTATAACTATTTGTGCTTTATTTTTGTTTAAAATTTGCATATGTATAAAATGAAACATCAATTTAATGAAAATAATAATTTCATAAATTTAATCAATGTTTGTTAGTAATTATCAATGTTGTCCACAAACTTGAAGACAACCCTTGTAACAAATCCCATAGCTGGAAATATTTTAAGCCAAAGTTCAAGTGTTATCAATTTTAAGTCTGTATCAGAAAATTTCATCGAAAGCAACAGGAGTCCAGAATACATGCAGGAAACGAAATTTGATAACTTGAGTTATATTGGGTAAGTAGGAAATTCAACATTTTGACGAAGTTTGATTCAGTAAGAAATTTTTCATATTTTCTAAGCTAAGAGTTACACATCATGCTATAACTGAGATACGTCGAAAATATTATATTCACTTGTCAAATTAAATTGTCGACGTCTGAGCTTGACCCCCTATACCTATCGAGAGGAAGTTCCTTGTCTACCCACACTTTGCACCTCAGGTTAAATCTGTGACTTCACACTAGTCTACACATAAGCAGAAAGGAATATACGCCACTAAAAATGGACTCCATTAGAAGCTCACAAATGTAAGTTTTCATGACAAGAATTTAAAACTCTAAAAACAATTTCTAAATCATCTGAATCAGTGTACATGTAATTTGTTGACAATAAAATTTGTTTTACCATTTTACACCACTGAATTTAAAACATACCCTAGACACTTTTAGTTATAAATGTCACTATTATAAAAAAAAATGAATGATTTAGTTGAGTTGAAAAATTAACTGATTCAGTTGAGGAAGTTTTTTTATTTTATGATTTATGAATGTAAAAATTCTTTTTTAATTAAGAGAAAATATGCACTGTCAACATTTCTTTTTAATAATACATAATAGTTTATTAAGCTTATCAATTATGATAATTATATTATATATTTACAAAAATTAAACATTAATTATATAAGAATATAAATTCCATTTTAATCATTCTCAGTACTAAAGCCATACAACGCATATCAGAGTCGGTGTTTGTGGGACTGTGTCGTGAAGTGGGGACCCCACAAATGGTGGCCGTGAAGAGAGATGTGATGGACATTAGTGAGATGGTGGGAAATCACGTGAAAACAAGTGATGAGATCTTAGAGATGGTGAGTGGAAGTTACAGAGAAGGAATCAAACTGAAAGGATCAGATATAGACACTATGTACTGGCTAAATAATCAGCGTGTGATCTGGGACTTATCTCAGTCTCAGTATTACAACACACACAGAAAAACACTGATCCTTTGTGACTGTTCCGAAAGTCCACCAGGATTTACTTTGTTGTATTTATTGTCACCTATCAAGTACATATTAATCCAGAGAGTGTGTGTTAGAATGTATAACAGATATTATGTTTCTAGTTCTAAATGCAGACAGGCCTCTTTATCTCAGTCATCATCACATTATAACCTTACTCCACATGGACCCTGTGTCAGTGGAACATTTGGACCACTTGAACTTGATTTTGCCTTCTGTTTTGTTTGTGACTTTTGGCCTCCCTCTGCCTCCTCATGGATAGACAGATGTCACTCATGGCCCCAGCCTCATGTTGTTGATGAAATAGTGAAAAATGGATGTCACTTTGTAGCAATGGGACATAAGCTAGGAAATCATGAAGATCATGAATGGAGAATTTCTTTCTCCCAAGCAGAAGAAAAACTTGTGTATGTTATGAACCACTGTCAGTTCTTAACTTACGGCTTACTTAAATTGATCTTAACAGAAATAATTAACAATGGAGTAGGTGATGATGATAAATTACTGTGTTCCTATCACATGAAGACAGCAGCTTTCTGGGTGATTCAACAAAATACAATATCTCACTGGTGTCCTCAAAATCTCCTGGAGGGTTTCTGGGTCTGTTTTAAACTCATCCTCAAGTGGGTGTATGAGGGGGCCTGTCCTAACTTTTTCATTCCAGGCAACAATATGTTTCTGAGTAAAATTCGTGGCGTCAAACAGCACCAATTATTCATAAGACTGTACGAGTTGTATGAGAAGGGTATAGCATTCCTGCTATATAGTCCCTACATTAGATCTTGTATTATAGATGTCCTCTATAACCCCAGAACCTCCGTCTGTACAGATGATCATACTCTGATTTCTGAGGTTGAGTTTGATAGAGATCTATTTGTTGAAATACAAGGTCATTACGCGCCACCACTCAAATTGGGCAAACAAAGATGCATTAGATATCTACATACAATAGCACAGATGATAGGTTCACTCCTCCTGACACATTATCAAGTCCTCAAGCTACAGAACATTACCGCTGTGGTCCTTCAGTACACTGCTTTTGTATTACACATGGAAACTTGCACATCTGACAACAAACTGAGTTATAGAGCTAACAAAATGTCCTGTCACATGGTGAAATTAGCAGCCAAGTTTGGTTGTATCACAGACATATTGTACATAGCCATGTATTATTACAAGACACTTAGATACAGGGAAGCTTTATCTATTATAGAGATGATGAAGTTCAAGTTAGCACAGCCATATGTGATGCATGGGTTAAATGTAGATACAGAGATGTATAATGAGGCTGTAGGGGGACAGTCCTGGTCTACAAAGATGAGACAGGCTGTAGCAGGGATTGTCAAACTTAACAATGATATCCATTACATCAGTGAATTAATACCTGAACAACAGTCTGCTCTAAAGAACCACTGGTCTTTATTACATGTACCACCCTTTATCTTATTATACATGCTAGAGATTTTTTGCTACAGACAAGTAGACACAATACGAGCACAATCAGCTCTAGATAATTTACAGACCCTAGTTCACTATGACCAGGGACAGATTATAACTTTACTATCTAGAGACATATCGTGGCAGATTCTAGGGATCTGTCAACAGTTGACAGGGAACCTCCAGGCTGCTCTGTACTCATACCAACAATCTCTCCGACAAGAATCATTCAATAGAATACAAACAGCTACAGAAATGAGAATACAGAGTTTACCAATGGATTCCCTTAATTAATTAAATGTCAGATGATATTTGTAGGAGTTCACGGATAGAGATTTATCATTTACATATCCTCCTCTGATTTCATACTTACATTTCTATATGTTTTATTACATGTATTATAAAGCTAATAACTAGTCTATAATAAAATGAAAGAGGCACCATAGCTTATCATGATTATACACTTAGAATGTATACTCTAGCTACTTTATACCCAGAGTTAGATAAGAGTAACAAAGAGAAAATGCATTTCAACTTTATAACCATTTGTGCACTCCACCCCACAGGAACCACTGACTCTAAGGGCCACATATTTCAAAATCATTTTTATCATAAATTTTATTTGATTAATACCACACAGCAGATTTCATTCCATAAATTTATTTTCAGACTATACCCCTGACCCAGGGGGCATGAAATTAACCATTTTGCTAGAAGCACCTTTCTTGATCATAAATAAATAATTATACAAAAATCATTGGCATATTACCCAGGAGCAATGTAAAAGATTTTCGAAGAAGTAACGGAAAAGATTTTCGAAGTATTCATGCATTTTCACTATATAATCATTAGAGTCCAGGCACGTAGCATCGTTTTTGAAAGTGGGGGGGGGGGGCAACCAGAGAAATTTTTTTTACTTACCTGAAAAAGTTGACAAGAAAAAAAAAAAAAAAAAAAAAAAACGAAAATTAAAAGTTGCCCAAACTCGAAAATCCTACTTTTTCAAAGCCAACTAACTATCACTTCCAATTTTTTTCGTACAATCCTTGATATCACTATGCAATGGTTATAAAGTGGGGGGGGGGCAACCATCCTATCAATGAATATTTACTATAGAAAAGGTTATGTTGGGAAAAAAGTTGGGGCAGGCCCCCCCTGGCCCCCCCGGTTGCTACGTCCCTGGAGCACATGTGCTTGGGGACAGGACCCTTCCCCTCAGTATGTAATGTTCGTACATGTATATCACAAAAATTCAATTCACGAATTCACGAACCCTCACTTCCAATATGGAAGCCTCTCCATAAAAAAAAGAACAACCCGATTAATTATTTGGAAAATTTCTTAACAATATCAAACATTTTTTATTATTGTTGTTGCAGAATACTTAAATTATAGTAACTATTTAAGGAATGAATTTAATAGCTACCCATGTTATATGGTATAAACTGGGTAAACCCAGTTTATACCGTATAAATGGGTAGCTATTAAATTAATTGCTTATAATTTAATTTTCATTCATTTGGTGTAAGAAAAAAAAATGATTGTTCTAACAAAATGACTTCAATTTGAACAAAATTTGAATGTAACGTCAGGCGGATTGATACGTGTTTGACGCAAGTCATTGTGACGTAGGCAACCCATTTTATACGATATTAAGTAAATTTTTTATCCAATCAAATACAGCGTTAGAACCAGATGTAATATTATTGATAATAATGTTTTATGCATACATATGTAATTTCCCATTTCTGTGGTTAGAATGTAGAGATTGTAGTATATTTCATGTATATATCAGGTTTCAGAGCTAGGACGTTATGTAATGCATAGTCTCAGGTTTTGGGGCTTTGCGTTGATTAGTCGTGAGCTAACGTCGGATATATCACGTGATTGTTTTAGCTGGTGGATGCTGCAAGTGTTTGTACACACCATTTTTTGTAGAAAAACATACCCTCCACCACCCCGTACAACCGTCCCTTAGGTTAAACTTTACTTTGGAATGTATTTTGATAATTTTGTTTGTCTCGTGGCCTATTGTTTGTTGCCACCTTATTTTTCAGCTTAAATGTTTGATATATTTGTGTTTTTTGAGTATTGTCATGATGTTATTTTAAGTTTTGGGAGATCCATAACAAGGTGTAGATACAAATTGTAGAAAGTCATAGGATCTCCCAAATTTCATGTGTTTCATTTGTGTCATTAATAAATGACATATTTACAACAATACTCATTCTTGGTTTTCATTTAATCTGAAAAATAACAGAGCTGCAGGAAACTTGGTTTTAAATTTGCACTATTATCATATGGAAGGCATAAATTAAATTATTATTTGCTAATGTGTAAATACAATTCGGTTGTCAAACTGTTATAACCTCCTTTCACCAACCCATTTGTTTGCTTGTCAAAATTTTTCAGGTGAGTTGTTTGTAATTTTTGTTTGTTATACTTTTAAAAATTGTTACATAAATTTACACTTAAAAGAATAACCTTTCTTCTGTTTTCATAAGTCAAATAGTCAAATAAATAGCTGTTTGACCGTGGAGCGAGATGTTGAACCTTTCGATGAGATATTGCACCATTTACGTCAAAGTGTGGGCGGGTTCAGCTGTCAGAACTTTACGGAATTGACAGTTTTTCAATGCAGTGAGGGTTAACAAAAATTTCATCATGATAATATCATAATAAAGAGTAAAATGTATAACAAAACATTTATCGAATGTGTTCTCTAGATCTGGCAAAACGTGTTTTGTCGACCCCTTGAACAAAACTATTTGCCTTCGGCCTAATCGTCTCGTGCAAACAGTTTGGTTCTTGGGTCCGACAAAACGCATGTTGCACTCGAACCCAGTCTATGAATGTATAATGCTGGTTGCCTCAGACTGATTCTGGTACAACAACCCGCCATGCTATGTGTTCACGAAACTGCGAAAGGGGGAGGGGTAAAGGGGGTAACATGTTCTGAGGAACTGCACATAGCTGGGGCAAGGTAAGGGAGGGGTATCATGATAATGAAATGTATATATTGAAGAAATATTTTCGTATTTCTTCTTTTCAAAGTTTGTGGTTCATTATTTTTGCATTGACACTTCTCATTTTATTTATCATAGACATACATTTCCAGCGCTTTAGGTAATATGCAATCCAGTCTCTTCTTCAGCATTCATTCTGTACATTTACCTATGTGTTTTAACCTCAGATTATCCAAAATATTCTCAATTAACATACTAATTCGTTTGTGCCCGAAGATGTGTTACTATACTGAGTATATGATAAATAAATAATAAATTGTGAACCTAATCGTGAGTATATACTAGTTAAATTTAACCCCCTTTCCAAAGAAAACGTCAAGAGGCGTGAAGACGCGTCAGAGATCTGTCTTTTTCTTATTAAAAAAAATGATTGATATTATCAAGAAATTTTCCATATTATAAATCTGGTTGATTTTTTTTATTGAGAGGCTTTCATATTGGAAGTGAGGGTTCGTGAATTCGTGAATTGAATTTTTGTGATAAACATGTACGAACATTACATACTGAGGGGGAGGGTCCTGTCCCCAAGCACATGTGCTCCGATGATATATAATCCAATGGTCATGTAATCTAAATTGCTGATTGTTTTCTTGAACTGATAAAGCCACAGAAAAAAAATCTTTTTTCGTAACTTCAGATTAAATAACCAAACATAGATTTATAGATATCTACGAGTAATAAAAAGGTATTGGCAGTATAAAAGAGATGAAAACAACACCAAGTATATGCATTTGACTTTATATTGCGACTCCCCCTGCGATGTGCTTTCCCATAAACGTTTTCTCTTGCTGTTTTAAGTATGAGAAACCCTACCCAAGCCGTAGATTGTGCAAATCATGCATGTTTTTACTACCCGATCAACGTAAATATGAAAACTGTCAAATAGTTTCGAAGTATTTGAGAAAACTAGACGTATATGATAGCCGGACAGATGACCACGATAAAGCTTAACTATTGCCATCTTCCGTGGGATATTTGTTTTTTGTAAATACATCGTATATATACCAAAAAAAGACGTGACGCACATCTCTTCTGACATCGAAGTGAAAATCTACTTCCCAATATGTTGAAAACGACTCCCCCATACTTTTTAGCGACTCCCCCGCGTTACCCGTTGTATACAGTGTGTGCACTCAACATATAAGTTGTAATTTTTTAAGAAATAAAATCCCCACCAACTTTCAGTCTAATTTTATTTTACCCTCAGTTTGTAGAGGGCAAGCAAACAATATTATAATGATGATATCAATTAAAATTATCCCTGTCATTAGTTACATCTATTACTTTAGTATTTATTATGTTTCTATATATATTACACATGGGTATGTCGATCTGTACATGTAGTATGTAATTATTATATAAAAAATAATAGAAGTCATTGGAACTGACCCCTTCCCAATCCGATAAAACATATGTAGTATAAATGTGGTTTAAACGCAAGCAACTCCCAAATGTTAGATATTTGTGTTTTTTCTTGATTCTATACTGTAAGTAAGAATGACACATCCTCTATTAATAACTATTTAAAATGCTTTTTTTTAATTTTCATTTTTAAATTACAATATTTATGTGTGTTAAATAATTGGTTTTCCCAACAAGCCGATATCGGTGAAACCATTGTGACATCAATCTTAAAATTAGAAAAAGAAAACAAGAAGAAATTAGACCTTTCCTTAAATAAATATACGTACTGAAACGCTTACAAACACTTAAAATACTTGAGCATAAGTTCGGCAGATAATCTCTGAACAATCACATGATTGTTATAAGTACTCAGACGGAAGTATATAAAAGACACTTTTCGTCCAATCCATTCAGAATAGAAACAGTACCTTCCAATATGTTAAAGAAACGTGTGTTTTTCAGTTTTTATTTCACTTTTCTTTTTCAATTTTTCAAAGTGTATAATGTTTTTTCACAAGGACTTTATGAGGACAGAAGGAAATTTCAGGGACCTTTCACAGAGAATTTGAAAGAAAATGTCTGTACCGAAAGTATCAAAACATGTGGTATTCTACTAAACGTATATCAGACCCTGCATCGATTAACAACGGAAAAATTAGTTAAGGTGCAACAGTCTGGAATAAAGGACGAAAACACAGTTAGTTTGTACAAAAATAGGTCCCGAACATGCCAACTTCAACTGAAAGAAATGGAAATTAATGTTTCGGAGTCTTTTAATACAATTGATTCTTTGAGCAAATTAAATTTGAATGCAGTTCTTAAAGTACAGGAGCTTCAATATAAAATGAAAACAAAAACCAACAACATACTATTAGCAAACAAATCCCTGTCATTTTGTGAAAAGAAGTTAGATGGATGTACGTTTAACCTTGCAAACACAATTCTTCTTCTTCAAACGACAAATGAAACAATTAATAGCGCAATCGAAAAAATGAAACAAAAATCACTTGAACTGAACGCCGAGAGAGCAAAAGTAGATGCAATTAACGACAGTTTAAAACAATGTAATAAAGTCCTAATGGAAGTAAAAACTAATGTCAC